GACTGACAACGAACATGACAATAATACTCATTAGGTTGAAAAAATAAAAATAAATAACAAATGCCAAGTAAAATGATATAAAGAAACTTACAAAAAACAATGAGATTCTTTGTGTGACATGTGGGAGAGATAGAAAAGAATTAACAAAGATGGGGGATGTATAGTGAATGATTCAATAACAATTTCAAAAACATTTCTACATCCCTAATGCATTTGTTCATCTACAAATAAATACTACAGATGAAACATGAACTAAATATATGCACAAAATATACTTCTTACATAGCTAGATTATACAATCCATTATATGGCAATGAAAGTATGAACAATGTTGGTTAGAATCAGTAATGAGCTTTCCTGATGTTTATGTGTGAATGAACAATTACATGTGAAAGAATGAATGTCTGTATTTGTTTCACATGCATTTTTGTGTGTGCCTACACTTATATTTTTCTTTGGATGTTTATGAGAATCTGCTCATATAAAAAATAATATGGATAGACAAGGAATCTTTTACATAGTCTTCTAAAAGATCTATAATTACTTTACAATTCATTACTGGTTAGAAAATGTTGATCACCGGAAAGACTTATAAGAAAGAGCATATAAGAAAAAGCCAGTGCAGTTATCAACTAAAATTATAAGGCAACTTCAGTGTATGCTATACACTGCAAAACCCTATTCATGACAGATTTAAAATGGATTAAAAGTATGCTACATCAAAATGAGAGAAATTTGAAAAAAAAATATATATACATATTATATTATCTATATTCTTAAAATTGAAAAGCTGATATCCCCCCAAAAGAGGATTTCAAAATATAGCAGACTAACTACCAGTACCTTTTCAAATTTCTCTAAATCTGCCTTTAAGCAAAATTATTTCAAAAAACATAAAATCTGCACTCATAAATTCACAGTTCCCAATATTCTGTGAAAAATGCTGCATACATTCTCATATGATGAGTAAATCCATGATATATAAAAAACAATCTAAACTAACTGAACACTTATTCTATCATTTTTCCTTTTACTGTAATACAATATCCTGAGAAAGTGAAGGAAATGAACTCTGAAAACTACTCTTTGCACTATTCACAAGAAAGAGACTTCATCAATGTTACTGAGAGAGATTTTTTTCTCATTATATGGGGAAAAGACAAATTGTACTTTTCATTTGTATTGTTACAGAATCTCTATAATACTATTTATTTTTCTGTAATATATTGCATATTCACACAAATATACATACTGTTTAAAAGCAAATTCTCTAAAATAATAAAAAAACATGGAAGTTCCATCTTACTGAAAATATACAGTAGAAACTTATGCCTCTAACATATAAACTCTGGCTTTGGTTCATCTGCACTCTGGAAGTACTCAACAATAGCCATTATGCTGGCATAGGATCCAATAACAAAGCACAAGATGCCGAAGCTCATAATGACAAAGCACTTTATAATTGTCAGCTTAGATACCCTGAAAAAAAGAAAGTTTAGAACTGTCAAAATTCTGTTGAACTTGATAATAGCCGGTGACATTTTTTAAACTAATATAAATATGAAGTAAATCTTCTCCAAAAAAAAAATATCAGAAAAAAAAATATATTGTAAACCATTAAACAAAAATGCACACAAATATGTAATTTTAAAAAATGAATTTGTAACACTCATTTTAAGCTGAATTAATCAAATCAGATACAATACTAATAACACCATAAATGAAATCTATAAAACTGAAACATGTAAGTTATTCTCACTCACCTTGGCCAAAATGTAACAAGCTCGATGATAGGAGGGAAAATAATAGCCAGAGTGGATGAGGACATAGCACCAACTAGTGAAATAAAAAGGCCTATGTTGGGTATCGCTGCTGCAAGGATAACTGAAAGGCAAAAAGAACAAGAAAAAAATTGTTAATTGTAGGTCTGACAATGAAATGCCTGAATAGCAGACTCTCCTAGGAGCTTATTAATATCAACCCTTTGGTCCTGGGCACTTGTTTAGTTTTGTCAAATTAGTTTCCATATAATTGGTTCCACAGGTGCTTAAACCTGGCCTCACCTGTTTACCCTATTTCTTGATTTTTAGCATAAAATGTTTTTATTTATACTATCATAATCATTATTAATGTAAGCATTATTATTACTGATATAATTAATATCAACAGTAGGCTTATTGCTAATAATTAAAAAAATACTTTTCTTTTTCCTCCAAGAAATTGGAGAAACAGGTTAGATCAGTAATGACTCCTTAGTGACTAAACACGTATATGTAAAGAAAGTGTAAAGGAAATTAATTAACTAAAATCAGCTTTAGCTGATTAACCCAACGGGTCCAGACTAGCTCAAATCTTACAGTATCCAGCCACAATGTGCAAGGTTTTTATTAACCCATTGCCGCCGGGGATGGCATGTATGTACATGCCATGCCCACTGTGAGTCGACTTGTTCGATTGTTTTTACACATAGATGGCTGCACTTGCACTAAGTATCCAATGAGCCAATTACAGTACTGCCTGTCTCGCCCGTTCACCCTTTTCATCGATTTACGAAAATATTTAACGTTATCCTAATTTGCTGTTAAAAATAACACAATCTATATTTATAGCACTAGTAAAAATACGTTTTTTCCCGCCAATTCAAGGAAAGGTGAAATCAGGACAAGCAGAGCCATCTATGGGCAGAGATATTTCACAAAAATATAAAAAATGAGTATTGCATTTCCCCCATTTTTTGTTCATTTTCCCCGGCGGCAATGGGTTAACCCATTCGCGCCGGGTGTCACGTATACGTGACGGGCCCACTGTGAGTTTACTTGTTTGATTGTTTACAAACATAGATGGCTCCACTTGCACTTGTACTACCTGTCTCGTCTGTTTACCCTTTTCTTTAATTTACGAAATTATTTTGCGTCATCTTATATTGCTGTTACTAATGTTTATAACATTATAGTAATTATAATGTTTATAATAAAAATAACCATCGATATTCATAGCACTAGTAATAATACATTTTCCCGCCAAAAAAAATCAGGTAAGGCAGAGCCATCTAGTGTTGAGATATTTCTCATAAAAAAAATATAAAAAATGAGCACAGCATTTTCCCCAATTTTTGTTCATTTTTACCCGTCGCAAATGGGTTAAAACTCATAATTTATATTGGAGTTGGGATACATCAATTCCTAACATTGTAGAATGTAGGTAAATAAGAGAAAATACTATTTAAATTGTTTATTTAAGGTCATATCTAAAAATACTATAGTCCATATAAAATTTTACATATTACAATATTTTTTTCTGTACTTAATATACAAATCTTTCATCACACAGTCACTAAACTTGGAATGCAAAGAAATGAGCAAGATAATGTGTGTCCTTTCCTTCAATCATCTCATGATACTAGAACACTTTCAAAATCATAATGCCTTCAATACTTACATGACCCTATGAGCAGTCTGGAATATACATATATACATACATACATACATACATGTATATACAGATATATATATATATATATATATATATATATATATATATATATATATATATATATATATATATATATATATATATATATATATATACATATATACATATACATACACATTATATAAACATACATACATATATGCATATATACATACATATACATATATATACATATACATATACAAATATTTACATATACATATATATATATATATATATAAATAAATATATATATATATATATATACATATATATATACATATATATATAATAATATATATATATATATATATATATATATATATATATATATATATATATATATATATATATATATATATATATAATATATATATATATATATATATATATATATATATATATATATATATATATATATATATATATATATATATAAATATATACATACATATATATATATATATATATATATATATATATATATATATATATATATATATATATATATAAATATATACATACATATATATATATATATATATATATATATATATATGTATGTATATATATATATATATATTATATATATATATATATATAGACACTAGTGTCACTAGATCATATAACTGAACATAAAAAAACAATAAAGCACTAATAAACAATGCTTTAAAATGTGCTTAATTGTTAGTGAACACAACTCCATGTGCCAATGTTTTCCAAAGTATTCAAAAGTATGAACACTTTGTTCAGTGTTCTTGTAGACTAGTTATTACAATGATCAACCTACATAAAGGAACAATATAAAATGGATTTAGAAAAAAATGAGAAATGTTAAATCAATGTACGGAAATCTACAGTATAGGAAGCATAGGAACACTTGGGGAGGTCATTCAATGTTTAAAATGAAGAAAATTGATGCATGAAGAAAAAGAATAGGAGAGAAGGCAAAAGATCACAAACTGATTTTTTGCCTTCCAATAAAATATCATAACCAAATTTTGTTCTAATCCTGGCGCTAGTTTTATACAAATCTTGTGAAATGCATGAAGTTCATAAGTAACATTCAATTTAGAGGATAAATGAAAGCAAGTAAAGAAGAATTGGCCACATATAATTAAAACCTTCCTTGAGATGTTAATCAACATGATTACCTATTATCATAAGAAAAAAATAATAACTGAACAAAAAAGTAGTATCACTTATAATCATTATGATAACAAAAAGAGGAAAAAATAACATTTTATTGCCTTTTACAAACACTCAAACTCAATCTATTCATCACAACCACTATGCCTCACAGACATATATACATACATTGAGACAGTTAAGTAATAGAGTCTGATATAAAAAAACTTGATGATGTCCAAGTTTAATGAAAAAAGTCCCCCTCAGATGCAACCAACCCATCACCTCACCCCATTTAAGAGTAAAAATCAAAGACACACTAAAATAAAAATTTACATATGAAAGTTTTTAAGTGGCTAAAGTATTATAACTGTAAATTAAACTTCTTCTGCTGTGATTATTCTAAAAGAATGCTTATTGCACTTGTATAAAGAAACCAAAATCATGTATTACCTGAAGTACAAAAAAAAAGCTCTGAAGGTATGAGTGAAATATACTCAACCAAAACCACATGCAAAGAATGAAATGACTGACAACGAACATGACAATAATACTCATTAGGTTGAAAAAATAAAAATAAATAACAAATGCCAAGTAAAATGATATAAAGAAACTTACAAAAAACAATGAGATTCTTTGTGTGACATGTGGGAGAGATAGAAAAGAATTAACAAAGATGGGGGATGTATAGTGAATGATTCAATAACAATTTCAAAAACATTTCTACATCCCTAATGCATTTGTTCATCTACAAATAAATACTACAGATGAAACATGAACTAAATATATGCACAAAATATACTTCTTACATAGCTAGATTATACAATCCATTATATGGCAATGAAAGTATGAACAATGTTGGTTAGAATCAGTAATGAGCTTTCCTGATGTTTATGTGTGAATGAACAATTACATGTGAAAGAATGAATGTCTGTATTTGTTTCACATGCATTTTTGTGTGTGCCTACACTTATATTTTTCTTTGGATGTTTATGAGAATCTGCTCATATAAAAAATAATATGGATAGACAAGGAATCTTTTACATAGTCTTCTAAAAGATCTATAATTACTTTACAATTCATTACTGGTTAGAAAATGTTGATCACCGGAAAGACTTATAAGAAAGAGCATATAAGAAAAAGCCAGTGCAGTTATCAACTAAAATTATAAGGCAACTTCAGTGTATGCTATACACTGCAAAACCCTATTCATGACAGATTTAAAATGGATTAAAAGTATGCTACATCAAAATGAGAGAAATTTGAAAAAAAAAATATATATACATATTATATTATCTATATTCTTAAAATTGAAAAGCTGATATCCCCCCAAAAGAGGATTTCAAAATATAGCAGACTAACTACCAGTACCTTTTCAAATTTCTCTAAATCTGCCTTTAAGCAAAATTATTTCAAAAACATAAAATCTGCACTCATAAATTCACAGTTCCCAATATTCTGTGAAAAATGCTGCATACATTCTCATATGATGAGTAAATCCATGATATATAAAAAACAATCTAAACTAACTGAACACTTATTCTATCATTTTTCCTTTTACTGTAATACAATATCCTGAGAAAGTGAAGGAAATGAACTCTGAAAACTACTCTTTGCACTATTCACAAGAAAGAGACTTCATCAATGTTACTGAGAGAGATTTTTTTCTCATTATATCGGGAAAAGACAAATTGTACTTTTCATTTGTATTGTTACAGAATCTCTATAATACTATTTATTTTTCTGTAATATATTGCATATTCACACAAATATACATACTGTTTAAAAGCAAATTCTCTAAAATAATAAAAAACATGGAAGTTCCATCTTACTGAAAATATACAGTAGAAACTTATGCCTCTAACATATAAACTCTGGCTTTGGTTCATCTGCACTCTGGAAGTACTCAACAATAGCCATTATGCTGGCATAGGATCCAATAACAAAGCACAAGATGCCGAAGCTCATAATGACAAAGCACTTTATAATTGTCAGCTTAGATACCCTGAAAAAAAGAAAGTTTAGAACTGTCAAAATTCTGTTGAACTTGATAATGTCCAGTGATATTTTTTAAATTAATATAAATATGAAGTAAATCTTCTCCAAAAAAAATCATCAGAAAAAAAAAAAAAAAAAAAATTGTAAACCATTAAACAAAAATGCAAACAAATATGTAAATTTTTAAAAATGAATTTGTAACATTCGTTTTCAGCTGAATTAATCAAATCAGATACAATACTAATAACACCATAAGTGAAATCTATAAAACTGAAACATGTAAGTTATTCTCACTCACCTTGGCCAAAATGTAACAAGCTCGATGATAGGAGGGAAAATAATAGCCAGAGTGGATGAGGACATAGCACCAACTAGTGAAATAAAAAGGCCTATGTTGGGTATCGCTGCTGCAAGGATAACTGAAAGGCAAAAAGAACAAGAAAAAAATTGTTAATTGTAGGTCTGACAATGAAATGCCTGAATAGCAGACTCTCCTAGGAGCTTATTAATATCAACCCTTTGGTCCTGGGCACTTGTTTAGTTTTGTCAAATTAGTTTTCATATAATTGGTTCCACAGGTGCTTAAACCTGGCCTCACCTGTTTACCCTATTTCTTGATTTTTAGCATAAAATGTTTTTATTTATACTATCATAATCATTATTAAAGTAAGCATTATTATTACTGACATAATTATTATCAACAGTAGGCCTATTGCTAATAATGAAAAAAATACTTTTCTTTTTCTCCAAGAAATTGGAGAAACAGGTTAGATCAGTACTGACTCCTTAGTGACTAAACACATATATGTAAAGAAAGTGTAAAGGAAATCAATTAACTAGAATCAGCTTTAGCTGATTAACCCAACGGGTCCAGACTAGCTCAAATCTTACAGTATCCAGCCACAATGTGCAAGGTTTTTAGTAAAAATACGTTTTTTCCCGCCAATTCAAGGAAAGGTGAAATCAGGACAAGCAGAGCCATCTATGGGCAGAGATATTTCACAAAAATATAAAAAATGAGTATTGCATTTCCCCCATTTTTTGTTCATTTTCCCCGGCGGCAATGGGTTAACCCATTCGCGCCGGGTGTCACGTATACGTGACGGGCCCACTGTGAGTTTACTTGTTTGATTGTTTACAAACATAGATGGCTCCACTTGCACTTGTACTACCTGTCTCGTCTGTTTACCCTTTTCTTTAATTTACGAAATTATTTTGCGTCATCTTATATTGCTGTTACTAATGTTTATAACATTATAGTAATTATAATGTTTATAATAAAAATAACCATCGATATTCATAGCACTAGTAAAAATACATTTTCCCGCCAAATGAAATCCGGTAAAGCAGAGCCATCTAGTGTAGAGAAATTTCATTAAAAAATATAAAAAATGACCCCAGCATTTCCCCCATTTTTTGTTCATTTTTACCCGGCGCGAATGGATTAAAGAGAGGTTGTGATCAGACTAAGATAACACAGATATGACATACTTGTTATCAGCAAAACAACCAGAACTAGTAATTCTAGTTCTGTATAACATATTTCATGCAAGTAAAACCTTCACCTTCTCCCTCCCAAATTCCCTCTCCAAACAACATACTATTATGCATCATAAAATTACCTCCTGGTATATCACTTTGTTTCTACTTTTAACATATATATCTAAATGTGTATACCCATATGATTGTTTTCTACAATAGAAATGTTTACAGTCACACATTCATAGTAAGTTATTCTTTTCATACATAAGCAAAGGGTAACTACATTAAACTTTTCAAATTTGTGTTTATTAATGCACTATATATTTCCTATCTGACAATGAAACATACTTTGTCTCTGTATTTAACTGACCTTCTGATCTTAAAGGGTCAATACACAGCCCCTAGTAGCACCTGATTACCCTATCCCTTGAATTTGCTTGTAAATGTTGTCTTTGTTTCTGGGTTAAGGGTTAAGACATCTAAATAATGAGTTAAAGTCACCATACTTACAAGTAATAAGAACAAGGAAAGCCCTGAATGCATATTCTCCAACACGCTTTGCCCTGTTTGAATGGAACCTAGTGCGGAGGTGTGGCCACATGATCTCCGAGGGAACATACAACATCAGTGAATAAGTCAAGTAGATTGCTACTGCCATCAGGATTTTCACTAACTGTGCAAGGCTGAAAAAAACGTATACACAGTTATGATAAAAGAAAATATAGTAAAAGAATATCTGTGAAGCTGACCAACAATATATGTCCCACATTACTAAAATATATATAACATATCAAAATCAAAATCTTTGTCTATAAATGGTCTCAGATGTAAGCTTTGCATGAGCTACCTTGAATAAGCTACCTTGAATAAATACCTTGTATATTCTGAGTCCCTTTCTTCTCTCTCTTACTATATCATATATCAAGTGCTGCTTCAAAAAGTAGAGCAAATTCCATCTTACTCATGAGTGAGAAAACTAATAAAGTTTCTTACACAGGCTTTAGTAAGCCAGTGTAATCAGTAAATTATCCTTAAAATCAATATGGTAATACATAAAAATTTCAAGAATTAAAATGAAAAGACTTACTTATCACTTGGTGGAAGATTAAGTGTAACTGAGCCGTGTACAGCATCACCATATTTTAGGTAGCCAAAGAATCCAACAGCAATGTAACCACAGGTTACTAGAATCATGGCTGTATTTAACACTCCATTGCATCCACGAAAATCTTCTGGTGTTGTCATTTTTCGCTCCAATGGCAAAACCTAAAAGGAAACAATGAAATAGTATAATGTTACAATAATATCAACATGTAAGAATATGCTGAACGAAAGCTCAACATTCTAACAGAGAACAAAATGGTACCCCTAATATGCAAGAGAGAATACAAGTGAATTATTGTTCTTCTTACTGCAGATACCTCATCAAATCTGTTTCAATGGCTTTTAGCAACACAAATTAATTTACTTAATCAAGCAGTCAATAATCTCCACTCATGTGTAGAGGAGGATTAATGTCCCAATTTAATTTGTAAAAATTCATTGCAAAAACCAAGTATAGGTCCTGTGTCAAGATGTGTAAGACTCATAATAAAAAAATTATATACATATATATATATATATATATATATATATATATATATATATATATATATATATATATATATATATATATATATATATATATATGGAATGATGGAAAATCACTCAGATATATTTGTATGCACTATATCGCTTTCATAGTGAAAAAGTCACTGGAAAAAAGCAAGTTGACAAGTTTTCCACATCTGTGGCAAATAGTAAAGGATGCACATTATGCTTTTTGCCATGATCATGACAAATAGTAACTTGGGGGTTAAAAAATAAGGAGATATTGTTTCTTTCTGAAATGGAATTTGATTGCAATGTGGATGACCCCGAG